CTACTATTGTGGACAGGAAAGAGAAAAGTTTATTGCACATACATCTAGATAGACTGACCAAGAGGATTCTAATTAGACAGCACATATAAAAACGGTTGCCACGTAACCGTCACTTTAGCTTTTTTACATGGATGCAGAAAAGTCTTCCAACTGAAGCTTTATCATAAACAGTTTGGATTATAATTTAAAACGTTGTCTGAACAGTTTTCAGTCTGTGCACATATTGTACATCAATCGCTGATTTTTAAGAGCTACTAGGAATTGAGAGTGAATTTGAGATTATTTTGTATGTTATAGCTGTCATTGAGCCGAATGGATCGGTCACAACTAGGATATTGCCTCCTTCATAGATGTCTCAATGTTGCCTGCAATTTTATTCGATAGTAACGATGGATAGTGGGATGTTGGAAAATCAAGAACGTCAGTTTCATTCCTATTGGGATCCGTGAACCCGATCTACCTGTCTTTCAATAGACGAAAAGCACACCTTAAACTACCCTGCTGGCCACTATCCATTATTACTACCAGGTTCTTTTGTACTTCATAAACCCACCTGGAAAGAACTTGGTTCTAATTTGATTATGAAACGTTTCAATGTATTTTACTAACTTCAGCACTATCTATGTAAGATTTCCATTCGTGACTGATGTCAAAAGGATATCCCTAAAATGAATTCTAGTGTAAAATAATTAGAGTGATGTTTTGAATCTGGAAGTCAGTGGATATCAAAAGTTTTTTTTGCTTATTTCAATATCTATCTGTGCATGTTCCCATTTCACTAGATGAGAACCGCATGCAGCATCATTATTTGCTGACGCAAACTAGTTTGCTTTTTGTCAAGCACACTGTGAGGATAACTCTGTTTAGAATTTGCTCTGAGATCGTGAAATCAATCCCTAAGATTTTTAGGGATTCTTTTACATGCGTAAGCAACCTACCAACACACGGATTTGCATTTTTCGGTGTAGCTGGCTGCCAGGGCTGATCTTGATAACCTGCACTGCATTGTTCACAATTATCACCAGAAGTATGATGAGCTGGATCACAGACACATACCAACCGCTCCTTTTGTCCTGGTCCAGAGCTTTTTCTGCACTCATTGCCATGTCCATGACAAAGGCATCTAGAAAAAAATAAGGTATGAATGAAAATTTGTAATATTTATTATATACAGTACATCTACAAATATAATTTTAGACTCTCAGAGTTCAAATCCAAAAACTTATTTGAATGCCAGCGGATACAATTTCGATAAAAATTGTGACGTGATGCAATAAACCTAATGTTATGCAGACCAGCATGTATATATGAACTGTCCTAACCCGTCTACTTTTTCGATATCATTTTCAATGGAGAATTAAGATTTTGCTCACATCGATCATAGTATCAGACACCTGTTTTCAGTGTATGTAGTTATCCTAAGCGATTTAATGTCTCGCGAGGTTTACATCGTTCTTTTTACTAAGGATAACCTCTTTTATTACTTGAGCTGTTGGGTTGCGGATTACCCAATTTATTTCCAGTCAAGTATCTTTGTTCTAACGAGTTACCTGGTTTCCTCCAGATAACAGGTTTTTGAAATATATACTGGAATAAATGCTAGACAATAATTAATATTGGGTTACTTGATGAATTTGTAAACGCTGACCTTATGATGAACGTCTTCAAAAGTATATGTTTCCAGTGGATTTCATTATCCTTTAGTCACATTTTAATTTTTTCTTTCAGATGCTCATACCAAGAAGCCACTACTGCATAGGATAATTTGAGTAACGATTGAAACGGATAATGTAACATGTTATTTCCTGCTACTTTAACCATCAACAAAACATCACCTAGCAAAAAAGGTTTTTAATGCTAATAAATACTATCAAATTGTGTTAAATGTGTTGATATTTTAGTGTTCAGTAAATCATAAAACTCAAATCTGTAGCACAACAAACACGTAGTGATTAAGGACATTGAATTATGACATACTGGAGACTTGTAGACATGGGATCGCTTTACTAAATAATATGAGGATGTATCAGAGTATGTTGTAGGCTAAATGCAATGATAGAAAAACAAGTGGATGCTCTAGAATTCGCTAGGCGGATGACTATAATGATATGTCTGTTAATTTGTTTTCGTTAGATTGAATTAACTAGCAAGAATTTCTCAATTACAACAACTTGATAAAGATGATACAACTAGATTGAAAATATTATTTCTACGTAAATTAAAATATGTGCGGTTACAATAGGAAAATATTTAGTGGTTCGAACAAGGGAGAACAGAAGGATTTTCGGATGGTTAAGCACTCTTCAGCCGCAAATAAGTTGCAGTTAGAACTAATGCTGAGCATAAAATGACTGACATGATCATACTAAGATTTATTTTACGTACCATACAATAAGCCTTTAATTTTAAACAGTTTAACTTCATTAGGAAAATTTGCTGTGGAAACTCAGTCAATTTTTGACGAGTAAAATGGACTGTGGTGAACATAAAAACACGAATAGTTTAGCAGTGAAAACAGGTATAATTCTCAAGTTCTTAGTGCTCAGATGTGACAATCGTGTATAGATCAAGCTAAGAATGTAACTCCTATGCTAAATAACGCGATACTGTAGTGCAGGTCATCCCGCCAAATGAATTCCGACATTTAGCAATCGAAATATAGGGCACCACAGTGTCACTCCACTTAGCTTAGTGACCACAAAACAGACCTGAGGTATAGACTTCAATCAATGCTGAGCACTTAATATTAAACAGCTACCTACATTCGTTATCCTATTGTGACTAATTCGTGTACTTGATCCAGTTTTACATCGGATCAGTCATGGCCTGAATTGCTTTGTGATAAACTCTCCGACTTCAGCAGTAAGATCAAGGTTCAAGTAACTGAAGCAACACTAGTCTCTTCATCGTAATGGATATACCTTTTTAATAACTGAAGAGTTCAGGCTCAGAGCTCCGAATTGACTCTTAACATATGAGGCTGAAATGTTGAATTATTTGGACTGCATAAATTGAAAAAGAAATTTCACCTTGAAGAGAGAATTATCATTCGATAAGCATTGAAGCTGAAAGTAGTGAATAAATTAGTGGTAATTCCTATAACTCTGGCATTGTCTGACTAAGGTTTCAGTTGCCAACAGGATATCAACGTTCTTAAGGCTGTATAATCCTTATCAGTGATAAATAATCTAATATTTCTTTTGGATGACTTCACCTGCTGACTAGTTTACGTTTCATACTGATTTCCTCTGAAGTTGTCTCATTAATAGTTAAGTATTCAGATTAAATAAACGATGCAGTTTTGTTGTACTTCAATAGAGAATAATTTATGCTTCACATAACTGACAACTATGAAGTTCAAATGGAACAAATTGTCAAAGCATTAGATGAACTGTATTCTAGTTAAATGTTCACTTAATTGTTTGCAAACGTAAGAACATAAACGACCTAATAAAAGTTATGTAGTATGTAAAATATTTATTCTTCTGAAAAATTACTTATGGGATTGAAATAAATTGCTTCATTCAAAGATAAGTCAGCCATTGTAAAGAACGTTATGCACAATATTCAACTAAATGAATAGTGAAGCAGTAGTTGATCTCAAGGTTTTTAATTACCAGTAGTAAACAAATGAAAACCATACAGCACTGGCAGGCAACTACTACATTATATTATGTGGATCACTATCATTGGGTAACCAGAAAGTCAAACAGCTCCAAACATGCAGGATATGGGACACTTCACTAGCATATGAGTATACAGTCACTGGCCTAATGTATCATTTTACATAGCAAAATAAAGAATACGCTATTTGGGTATAGAAATAAATCTACAGTGGAGAATAAAATCCCCAGGTTATTAAAACGTCCACCACTATCGACCCGGTTGATTCTTTTGTCGCATACACACATTGTTTGCTGTCAGCAATATGACTGTCTGAAGATCGTAAAAGTAATTTTCAAAAAATCTTATACACTATTTATCATTAACTGTAATAGTGAAGCCGTGGTCAGTATTTATAGATTGAATCGAGGAACAAGATTTTAAACAGAGATTTAATCATCTTAGCTGTCCTTATGCGCTAATCAAAGTAAAAAAACAATACGATAATATTTTGAAGTAATTCATAGTGAGTTCAAATTCGAATGAAAGCACCACCATTTCCATGAACAAAAACAATCTCTTCTTGCATATATTATAAAACGTAGGGTATGTGTAATACATACCGGGAGTATGATAGATAACATTTTTGAAAATGCATCGTCACCTTTAACATTAAAAAAAATATCCAGACGATAATTAAACACAAAAAATAAATGTTTCATAATCTCCATTCAAAACACCTGTATTAAAATCAAAGTATTGCCTCTGTGACAAAGGATTATTAAATTGACCTAGCAGAATCCATTATATAATGTTAATGATGGATGATGGCTAACGGTGAAATGTAGGCTGCACTTATTTCAATATTGGCGACTAGTAACTAATTCAGTGTTATGTGCTGGTAAGCGCTGCCTTAATTCCACTGATCATTTCACACTGTCATCTCTAAGCTACGAGACTCAACTTCAGATTGCAAACGAGATGAAGAGGTATCACATTGAAGTGCTTGGAATTTGCGAAAGCAGATGGAATGGGAGTCGACTCTCCAAACTATCAACTGGAGAATCAATAATCTACTCCGATATTGTCACCCAGACGACAACCACGAGCACACTGAGTTATGGAGTGGCTATCATGATGTCTCCAACAGCATCGAAGGCTCTCATGTAGTGGGAACCAATCTCCTCCAGTATCATGACAGCAAGGTTCAACTCGAAAGGAAGGAAGGTCACAATCATACAATGCTATGCACCTACAAATAATGCAGAGCAAGAGAAAAAAGAGGAATTCTATAGACAACTTCAATCGAAACTGGACAATACGTCAGTTGGAGATATCAAAATTCTAATGGGTGACATGAATGCCAAACTGGGAGCAGACAACACAGGAAGAGAACTAACCATAGGTCGAGAAGCACTCGGTGAGATGATGAACAAGAATGGAGAACTGTTTGCAGAATTCTGTGCATTCAACGATTTGGTGATTGGAGTCAGGCAGTGTGTTCAAGCACAGGGATATCCACAAAGCGACATGGATTTCACCAGACACCAGACACACTAAAAATCAGATCGACTTTATCCCAATCTCAAGAAAATGGAGACGCAGTCTACTTGACACAAGGTCAAGAAGAGGAGCAGATGTAGGTTCACACCACTCACTGTCTAGTGCAAGGAACCTTTCAAATCAAGTTAAAAGCCTTCAAGGAAGCTGGTGATAGACCGCAGTGCAAGTACAACACTAGGAAACTGAAGGACGAAACTACAAAGGAGATCTTCAAGGCAGCCATCAAGACAAAATGGGAGACATCGAGGGACATCCCTGAAGAAACCTGTGTGGATGAACACTGGAGGTATTTGAAAGCTATGTGGAAATAAACCTGCATAACCGTATTAGGGAGGAAGAAGAAAGAAGATAAGGAATGGATCTCGACGAAAACATGGGAGCTGATAGAGGAGAGGAGGATGGTGAAGCAGAAGAAAGACCAGTGCAAGGATGTACTACGAGAAGAGGATCTGAGTACAATGTATAAAACACTACACTGGACAAAGAGGTGAAGAAGAGTGCATGGAAAGACAAAAGACACTTCCACAACACACTGGCAAGTGAAGCAGAACAGGTTGCAGGTGGGAGAGAGACAGACCTGACAACATTGTATCAAATAACCAGATTCCTATCTGGGAAAGAAGAGATCAGCACAGATGGAACCAATAAAAGATGATGAAGGAAATCTAAATACCACAGAGGAGAAACAAGTGAGACGATGGGCTGACCACTTGAAAGAGCTCTTGATTCGACCACCACCTGCACTTCGTCCACAAATACCACCTACAGCCCAGCCACAGAATTATAAGTGAACACAAATCCCCCAACAAAAGTCGAAGTCCTCAACGCCATAAAGTTACTGAAATCCGTGAGAGCAGCAGGACCAGACGGGATCCCGCCAGAGGCACAGGAAACAGACGCAGAGAAAACAGCTGACATCTACGCCGGTCATGAGACAAGTCACGGGTCAGTTTCAATGGATCATTTTTGGTGTGAGCGTAGGTCAGCATTATAAAAAAGTCTACGCAAACAGGGCAAAACAACTGTTGAAAAGTATCTGAAGGTCTTGAAACCATATCGAATTCACCTGAAGATGGGATTCGTAGTGACCAAGATTTGCATATCCGTCTGCTACCTTATTATTCACAATCTTGATAAAATCATTCATTGATGAGTTCTTTTTATTTATTCAAATCTTTTTACTTCATCAACAAAATTGTCTGTTAGTCCTGATGAAATCCATATAATAATAGTAATGATAATTAATTAGCTCAGTAACGATCTCAAGCTCATTCACTCGACCATCTACCACATTCTTTACATGGACGCTATAATACAGCCTTGTTGCCATGGTTTTCACAGGTTCACAGGGACTCAAATTTATTAATCACTGGTTAAAAAGTTGAATATGATAACCAATAAACCATGGAACTGTATACACTTAATTTTGTGCCCATCAACTCAGTAACTCATTAACTCTGGCGTTCATGAGAATGGAACAGTTGTTACACTTTTTGAAACTCAGTTGATGGAAAGTAAGAACAAAAAGACTTGTTCCTTCATCAAACATCATGAAAGAATGTTGACTGAGTAAAAGTAACAAGAGGAGTATAGTGAAACACTTTGATTATACAAAGAAAATGAATACCCTTATTCCCTAAATATCCTGGCTCAAGCTTCTGAATATGTATTGCTCCCTATCGGTCTCAATGTGACTATAAATATGCCCTAGGGAAATCAGCTATTCATATAATTACCTGGCATTGACCAGCCATCATAAAAATCTCGAGATTATTTCAAAACGTTGTATGTGGTGACTGGACTTTATTGTTCACGCTTATGATGCGGTCATCGTGTTAGGACATCCACTATCAATATGCACCTTAACTGCATTTGAATGGGGAACTGTAAAGCCAGTTTTCGCTCTTTTAGTCCGTTTCAACATGGCTTATGTTCACGTCTGTCGTCGGAAAATACTTTTCAAGTGAAATGAAAAACCTTTCCCATCTAAAAGTCAACATTATGAACACCTTAGTACTGAAAGAGGCTTGCTCAGTCTATATTATTCGTATCCTCCTTCTACCCATGTATTTCTCTGATCAGTAATAAAAGAGAATAAACAAATATTGACTTATTTACAAATTTCTAAGCACAGAAAGTATCGAGGATCTGCTAAATGAGTTTCCAAACTCGACAATGATTACAACAACTCATGGTATATCACTATGTTTCGTCACAATTTTAGATTTCTTGAAAGAGATTCAATCAGAGTCAATATCTACGTATTAATTATTGACACCTGTGCAGTTCAGTCGAAATGTAATTGAAGATTTCTGTTAATACACAGTAGTACACAAGAGGAGTGAGTTTTATCGCTTCCATTGCAATTATTTCTTATCTCCTAGGAATGATAATAAAATCATTTGAGTCCCTAAACTTCATTAGATTGATCATCCTTACTCACCTTCCTCCGACAGTCAGTTTTTGTACAGCGAAGTAATAAGTCAGTAGAGTATCTCTTTCAGCTCCACGTTCGTCTCCAAATGTATGCATTTTCTTTAATTCTATAAGAATTTGACTAGCAGTACTCCAGCGCTATACACATGAAGATAAAGACAAAAAATAACACCAACGGAAAATTGATAAACTAGAAACAACAGCAGTGGTTAACAATTTTGAAAGCAGATTTATGTGTTCATGTAACCTTTTTCAGCAGTTCCGTAAATATTATCTTACGATATTATATCAGCATGACTGTAGAAATGCTGTTCACTAGTAAGATGGAAGTTAGCCAGATGCTAAAAGTGGTTGATACACAATAGTTGTTTATTGGATCTGTAGGATTATGAGATGTCAGGTATATACTAAATGGATAACCACGGTCTCACGTGTACTTAAATTCTTGATGTAACACTAGAGTAACTTAGCCCTGACTTGGCCCGTAGGTTTTCGCTTTATGGACATCAAGAGTATGCAATGTTAATAACAGCGGAGGGAAATGTGATTATAAAGCAATATTCCACAGTTTTCAGTATTGCTCCATTTAGAGTCGATTTTTGACGTAAACAACTTTAGAATTGCATTTATATAAAAAATATGCGCACTTGAATGGTATTCTATAGCTCTTTATGTGGATGAGATACAATAAACTAACCTAATCCCTAAAGATAGGAACTGAGACAAGAGAAATATAAACATCAACTATCATGTACTAAATACACATGATTTCATACTATGTACAACGTGTTTACACATAAACTTAAGACTTCTTTCTCTTATTAGACAAAAGTTGAAAGATTATGATTTCAGTATAACACTTAACACTTAACAGTTGAAATGACACACTCTTGTCCGTCGATTGCTCGTATAACACATAAACAGAAAACACAGGTGATTTAATCTAAAGCTAATAGGACATAGGCTATTCACAGAAATAAATTCTAAGACAAGCCTGAACAGGAAACAGATATACAAGCAGATAGAATGTTGTTAAGTCTCACATGAAAGTGCTACAGTGCTTCAGGTGAATTAAAAGAAGTAGAGAAATGGGACTCACTGAGTTGCAAACTAATGGATAGAAGATAAGTTGCTTGCCACGAGACCTGACGGTTTGTCAAAGGACCGTGGATGATCATTGCTGAGAACTTCCGAACTGGGATGAAAAAGCTGGTCAGGGCTCTCAGGATTTCAGTGGTGTATGTGAAGAAAGTTCCTTTGGAATAATTCAGTTCTATACAAACTAACTACTTGAATATCATACATCTCTATTAGTGTAGCTTAACAGCTGCTTTACCCAACTGGCTTTCATAGCCAATAACTATATATCTAACCTCAGTATTTATTATCCATTGATTCTATAACTGACATCCATGAAAACGGCAATGGCAGAATTCTTGTAAATATCTTTTATTCGTCAATACGCAACGCTAACAGCAAACAGTTGTGAATTAATGCAAAATAACTGGCTTTCCCTACACTCGGTTCTTGACACACATTTTGAAATTTTTCTGTTGTCGTAAGTGATATAAGTTAATAAAAGCTACTTTGATTTTCTCACTCCTGTCAGAATTTTGTTCAGGGTGTTCAAATGACAATAAATCTTGCTAAAGTCTGTACTTGGTAGGGGTAAAAATCTGACTACTAATGTTGTTCAGACTTGAATACTCCACTATTGAAGCTTGAATTACCATATGTTCGGTTTCGAAGATAAAAGTAACCAGTGTAACTTGTTTCTGAATTTTCCACAATCTTCTAATGCGACACGAAAGTGTCTTTCTGCCGAAATTTCAATACATTATCAGCGTTCGTGTAACGATATAACAAACCTTCGTAGCACTCGGCTCCTTAAAGACTATTGGGAAGTCACTCAGTTTGAAAGGTGAAGAAAACACCAACATTTCTGTAACTCACCTGTAATTCAATATCAGTGAAAAATTTATCATAATTCGGTCGCCCATTTATAACAGAAAAGATTACTTCGCCTTCATACAGTGGTTGCAGTGTTGAATACTCCTCATAGCAAACCAGTTCGTCGGGTCTATTGAATACTGGTATATGACTGTATGTCATACCAAAGTATGTGTAACAGTTGCTTGAAAAGTATGCCCATGGCGTCCAGTTTGAATTATCATCGAAACGTTTGTGTATAACCATTGCATGTGGACGTGGTGATTTGAACTGTAGGTAAACATAATTCACATGAAATTGTGTGCCTAAAATTAAATTGGAAATATAACTACAAATTAGTAGTTTTAAGTAACTAAAATGGATGCGAGTAGTTGAAATAATTCTTTTTAAATGTTCTCAAGACAGCGAGTAGTACGAGTAACAATAAATTCACTAGATCATAAAAACACCAAGTAGCTAAAAAATTTCTGCCGCCTTCAGTTTTATCATTCTCAAACTTTACATAAAATATTTTATAACAAAGATGTACGCACACCAGGTGCCTGCATTAGTTTCAGGCTCGACAGTCAAATATATATTAGGTTAATTTTGCGATAAAAGTTGTGTAACTGTTTATGTTATTTTACTAGAATATTAGTAGTTAAGAGATAAGGGGGTCAAAATGTGGTAGTAAAATTACCTTACCAGTCATTACAGTCAATGAGAAAGACATCTCAGGTTTGTGCTCATCAGTTGATGTCAGTCCATGATGATGAATGCCAAGCTGAAATCAATAAATCCCCACAAACCTCAAAACAGAGAGATATCTTATGACTAAAATTTAAAAGGTGCCTTGAGATTTATCTATTAGCGAAAAACAAAAGCATGCACGGCAAAATATTGCTGTCTCCTAACATCAAACATCGTTACTTAACACACTCGGATTACTGGAAACTTGATTTCGTGCATCGTCATTGTGTAAAATGAAATTCTTAATAGGTTACTGTTAAGTAACTCAAAATAATACAAACTATTCTACACTACGAGTGATAACTTCCTCTTAAAAATCAGTCTGTACTGATGGATAGTGACTTGCAGTGGAATCTAGCACGTGCGTTATGTCCTGTTTATGACTCATCAGCTATGTGAACCTACCTCCCTGTTAGCGATATTGTTCTCATTACTACAAGCAACCACATTCGTGTGTAATGTTAAAATAATTCATAAATCTAAGAAAAACTGGTACTTCACTTTTATTTGAAAAGGGGTGACATCAACTCAGTTGGAAGGTGTTCGTTAAATAGGCTTTCATGCCGCTCAGTGAGCGGACACAGTTACATCTTTAGCAATTATACATTCATTTTCAGTTGGATGTGTGCAAAGAAATCATCAAAAGGTTGATATAAATCAATAAATCATAGTTCTGAAGATAGTTTAAAAAACGCCAGAAGTAAACCGATGGTTATAATTCTGTGTCCCAACACTTTGTCTTCCCCAGTATCACAGAGTTCATCCCCGAATAAAGAAGAAGCCAGTACTCAACATTGGAATATTAACCGCATTTACCACTAGATAATAATAATAATTGGTGAGAGTGCTGTTTGAAAGTTTGCATGAATTCTAGTCATTTTAATGCTGGATGAAGTTCTTCCTTGCCAATATATATATATATATATATATATATATATATATATATAATACCAGATGATTCCATGAAACTCGTAGTGAAAAAAGTACTCATATTACACTTCCACCCAGCACCTTTGCTTTGAGTGTTAGAACACATTATCTACATTGACAGTCAGTCAACAATGGAAAAGATCGAAAAATCAGTTTACAACGAATGCTCCTTGAAGAAAAAGAGGGCTGTCCTAATTCTATACCTTAATGGACAGTCAATTTAAAGATGTATATACTGAATTCAATTCTGAGTCAAAATATCAACACAAATGCAAGCATACTTTGCCAAGAAGTCTTAAATAAAAAGAAAGGCACATCCTGGGCTAAACTGATAGTCATTATTGTAATCCAATTCACATTGATAAATGAAACTGCCTTTTCGATTATTGCTTAGTCAAAAAAGTTTCACCAGTAAACCTTGGGTTCTAGCCAAGTAAATGCATTAGTTAGTAAATACTGAATATTAAGTTATTCTCTAAATGCGTGCAATAACATTTTGTATGCATGGTCAAGTCACTTTAGACAACAATCAAAATTATATACCCGTTGTTCAAAAATCTTAAAGTTCGAAGTAGTTTACTGATGGTGGTCTTATTTCGAATTAATATTATATGTGAAATCAGTGAAGGTTGTTCAAAGCTATTTGGTTTTGAAATCCTAATTTTCTGAATTTACTACTAAGCCATAGAGTTTCGTATTTAAGTGGGGAAAAATACTTGTCTAATATTATGGTTTTTTAGATAAAATCACTTCTGAATCGGTTTTACATCTTAAATAATACGGAAATTCTCCATTCGTTTATTCCACAAACGTTTGCAAATATTATTACATTTGTAGCCACCTCACTCTTCCCGCTCTTGTCTCTGATAATCCTTAACAACTGATGACTTGACATAATAATTTGTTTGCTCTTATCTTCACGTTAGTTACTATTATACAAAGTATCAATTATGCAACAACTTGTTTAAAAGTTAACAAATTTTTTCAGGCAGTTATTTTATACTTTAACTACAGTTTTAATTACCTTGATTAATTATTACCCCCTGAATACTTTGATACTGATAATCTATTATGAAACAATCATCAACAATAGACTGGTATGTAATTTTATATTTTGTAGAGCCTTCGATAAGAAACTAATTGAAAAGAAATGTATTTTCACTCATATTGCTAGTTTTACGTCTTCAGAAACCGTTTGCAATAACCTTGTTGTCACGATACAATATTTAGAGAAAGTAGTGTAGTCATACAATGAATAATGTTATCGATCAAATAAAAATGGGAGAAATGTCTAATATATCACGTTCTTATAAGAAGTTAGTGTACTTTCACAAGCTCCATTCATATCAGATATTATCAAACCTAGACAAACTGATGTAATTGCGGAAAATCCTACTGTACCAATGATCGGAATCTCCCTCATCGAATCCTGTATTCCCAAAGCGTTATCATTGAGCTATGTGGCCTTCGTATTTAGCGATATAACTTAACACTTTAAGCCTCTATACTTTAGTAACAGATGCATTTATTAACAGAAGCTTGTTATCTCATAGGGTTTATTGAAAACTATATTGCTAATTAATCATTAACCAGTCTGAATTGAAGTAAACATAACAGCATTATTGACATGTACGTAGTGCTTTCACTATGTAGGAGAAATAAAGTCTCATAAAGGGTTTAATTTCCTTCGAAATAAAAAATACGCAAAATGGATTCATTGTTTACTGTGAGTATTAGTAACGAGTAATCATGTAAAACTAGAAACTGCACACATTCATACACTATTTCTATAAAATAGTCATCAAGTATCAAGTGCCATAATAACTCTGGTATTTAGTGACTATGGAAACCCGTTGATTTACATTACAAGGAACTTCAGTTTGCTAAGCAGAATATTAGACTTTTCAATGTAATTTGTAGAAGATTGTGGATTTCGATTTTTCACTTTTTAGCACTAATAATCCAGGATAGTAGACATTTTAACTGCATGCATGCACACTTCAGGTTCGAAACTTAGAAAGTTTACGATTATTTATCAAGCAGAAAATGTATCTTAATGATGCAGGGCTTGTTGGCAATTCATTCACAACAGGACAGTAAAAAGTTCCTCACAGTGATATGAATCCAGACTTAACGTTCTCACTGAGGCTTTAGAGAATGAGGAATAGTTACTTTCATAAAATCTTACAAATAATATACCATATGTTGAAATGTGGTGATGCTTGGAATACACCTATAATGCATTTTTAATGAGACATTTTATTCAGTACTTACTGTTCATGTGAAAATTATTTTTCTAGTTAGGTAAAGCTGACTAACAGTGTACAGATTTAAAAGACGGTTATCCTGGACAAACCCGGCCAGATACAGTTTGGCTAATAAATTAAATTTGAAAGAGCACTAACGATCTAGTATTGTTTAAGTGAACAAGTTCAACAAATAGGTAAAAATAGAGGGCCAAAAACAAACAAATGAGTATATACTATAAATTGTAAAATACTTAATGGTGTTTCATAATATGAAGTAAACATTTTGCATGGAAGGTTTAACAATCTTCAACTAGATAATCAACTTCGTCTTGTTACTTCGTTGCCTGTAATTCAATGATTATTAGCACTAGTCATCTACCGATGTAAAATTAAGTTAGTGGGGAACTCTGGTTGACATCAGTGAGCTATCTACATATGAGGTGGTGGAAAATTGATACTGACTTAGGGATTCAAAGTTGTCTCTTAGTGTCACAGTCAAAGAATTGAGTAGTAATCACCTGTTACCTCCAAGAAGGTATGAAGAATGCACTTTGATTGGGCACTGGATACTAGCCGATATCGCCCTGTACAGTCCCAAGTGAACATGGCATATATATATATATATATATATATATATATATATATATATATATATATATCTTCTTCGTCACATTTTTATACTACGCCGAACGATTTCTGTTATTACCGTTACAAATAATGCCGCAGAAAATGACTTCACCTTAGCCCATACACTTATGCACTGAATGAAACCATCAAAAATGAAGTCTTCAAAGATAATAAAAACAAATGATGGGTATACAAATCAAAGCATAGAAAGTCGCACAAAATTCAAGTGCCGTAATTATCATTTACTGCTAAATATGTCCAGCACAACCTAATTGCTGACAAGAACTTGACAAATTAGACAATGGAAAAAGTTTCAACCTTGCAAACAATGCTGTCAATGTAACCCCAGCTACACAGGAGCAGAATCACTGTCGGCGTAGTGTTGACTGTCACGGACTAGACTATTCTAAGAATTTTTTAAGAGGTATTTTAATTTTAAATCTGACGCTTACCCGTTCAGTTCAGACATTAAGAAAGTTGTGTCAGTTAGTCAACTGGAATTTTTTCATAAATATGCAGATTTGTTCAATAAACATAATACACCTTGTTTAATGTGAGTTAATGAAAATTTTTGAAGTGCTTGCAGTCATATTTACTTCAAAAGTTCCCACAGATTTCAGTTTTACAACATTCAATTTATGTAGAAACCTATGGTGAAAAAAATAGCAGTATTCCAAAAAATAAAATCAATGCTGTCACATTCGAACAACCATAAATACTGTCGAAAATCTATCAGTGAAGGCAACTAGTAATTAATTTAAAGTTCCAGT